TCCACGTGCCCTGGTGGGTTGGGGGTGGCATGGGTGACGCAGCTCCATGTTGTCTATCAGTAAGCCAAGCTATAAGCAGTGTGAGCTCACAGGTGTCCACTTCTTTTTCACTGTCCTTCAGTCTTGGAAGGCTAGGTGGAAGGTCAAGAGTCAACGCAAAGCTGCTGGAGGAAACAGACGGTTATAGGAAGGGCGTGGCCTGGGCTTCTTTCGTTGCCTGGTGCCTCATGCACCCGGATTTTGCCTTGCCTCCTATCCTCTGTTCCGCTGATTTTGGGATGAACCACAGTTGTGGGCAAATCATGACCATTTGCCTGTGAATATGGGTTGGCCAGGGGAATCACAGGGCTGCCCAAACGGTGATCATGAATGCCACTCATAGAACTGCCCTGCTTGGCGAAGTGCATTAGACCATTGGGACAGGCCCATGCCTGGCGCTTCTTTGCCCTTCGTTGCCTTGTCTTCCTCTCTCTTTTCCTCTACACGCTGTACTTGAATTTTTTTTTCACTTGTATTTGAAATACATTTCGATAAAGGTGCTCTCTAGCCCTGTGAGACGCTGGTCCCTTCATGAGGGATGTCTGCCAGGATGAGGGCAAAACGCGGTAGCCAGTGAGGCTCCACTGCAACTTATCAAAACTGGCTCAGTCTGTGTGTGGTATGTCGCAAATCATAACATCCAAGAAAGGGTAGGCTTTGCTATCTAGCTTCAGACAATTTCGTAAACATTTGTTGCTTAGTTCGGAAAGAATCTGAGAACTGGACAGGTGAGGGAAGGGGCAGTTGGTGAGGATGTCAAGTATTGTGGACATTCACCTCCAATCACCTTTAGGTAGTAGCCTGCTGGCCTGCACTTTTTGTGGTCCTAGCAAGTTTGCACCACCAGGAATGGAGTGTTTTTTGAATCAGTGTTGGATGTTAGGAGATGGTTGCGAGAAACTGAGATCAGGAGATTGTGTGGTCGTTTAGGGCTGAGGATGAAGTATATGATGCACCAGCAGTGTGCAGCTTTGGCGTCGTGCCTCTCGCTCTCATGTGGGGGCTGATCAGTTTGTGTGTTCTGGGAGAGGCAGAAGGGGTCCTTTCTCTTCTCTGCCATAGGTGTTGACTGTGTCTCCACCTTCTCATTGTGGAGGGAGGTGCATCAGTGTACATCCCATGCATCGCACTGAATCAATAGAAGTCGCAAGTATGAGAAGGCAAATGATTTCTGATGAAAGAAATCATAAGGATCGCTTGCTGGAAAACGCTCCAAAACCTAACCAGGCAGATCTTCTGAAAGTCAGGACAATGTCAAGTCGGAAGAGGCTAACACTGCGAGAACCCCCTCAACACAACATCTGGTACGGTTGGTGGCAGAATTACAAAACTATTCAATATTTTGCACAAAATCAACACGAAAAACATCCACAAATAAACAACCCCCACACGCATAACACAAACTAAAAAACAACAACAATGAAATTTTGTTACATATACCATAATATCTGTAGCCATATAAACGAGGCGAGATCATGTCTTTGCCTGGATGAAATTGCGCGCTCGCGCCCATTTCCTTAGCAAACTACCAGGAACAGAAAACCAAATGCTGCACGTACTCACTTATAAGTGGGAGCTAAATGAGGGGTGGGAGGAGGGATAGGATTAGGAAAAATAATTTATGAGTACCAGGCTCCATACCTGGGTGATGAAATAATGTGTACAACAAACCCTCATGACACAAGTCTACTTATGTGACAAACCTGCACATGTATCCCCGAACCTCAAATAAAAGTTAAAAACACGAGAAGAAACCTGAGAGAACCCGCTTCCAGTCTCCTGTCTCTCTTTGTGCTCCACCTTGTTAAGATACAATGAGAAGACCTCTGTCTGCAAACTGGAAAGCAGCCTTCCCCAGACCCTGGATCTGCAGGCAACTTGATCTTGGACTTCCCAGCTTCCAGAACTGTGAGAAATAGGCATATGGTGTTTAAGCCAGCCAGTCTATGGTAATTTGTTATGGTAGTCTGAGCCGACTGAAACAAGCTATGCCTCCCTAAAAACCATGCAGCTGGACAGAGCTGTGAAAGAGCCCAGGTGACTTCAGAATCCCCACACACACGCTTTCATCATTCTCATTAGGCCTTTGGAAACTTCCATTTCAGGGAATTGCCTGTCCCTAAACAGCATTATAAACAGGCAGCATAATATAATAAAGAGAGCACTGAGCTAGGAATCAGGGCACCTAGGGTCCAGCCCAGGTTCTGTTATTAGGCACCTGGGTGACGCTGGGCAAGTCACTTCAGCTCCATGATTCTCATCTGTAAAGCAAGCAGGGAGGCCCATGACTATTCCATGGTCTCTAAGTTGCCTTCAAGCATGGAGGCCAATGGCTCAAGCCTATCTGACTGTTAATTTGTCCAATCAGAAAGGGATATATTTGCATAGTCAGGGAAGCTTGTTTTTAAAACTACCCCTTTTCTCTGAAAGTAATTGTGAAAGTGCGGAGAGAAGACCCTTTGGTTCTTGTTTAAAATTCAGGATCTTGAGTATTTTTCTTAAATATGGTTCCTAGTTATCTGTTACTGCATAACAAGCTATCCCATAATGTAGTGGCTCAAAACAAAATGCACCACCTTTCACAACTCTGGATTGACTGAGCTCAGTTGCACGGTTCTTGCTTGGGGTCTCTCATGCAGTTACAGTCAGGTGGAGCTGGAGCTGAGGTCACTGAAGGCTCAGCTGGGCTGGACATCCAAGATCCCCTCCCAAAGGCTGTCAGTTGATGCTGGCTGCCAGGCAGCCTCTCAGGCGGGGCACTAAGCAGAGCCCCTTCATGTGACCTCTTCACGTGTCTTGGGCTTCACCCACTGAGGGGTGAGTTCTGAGAGGAAGTGTCCCCAAGGGTGAGTGTTTACAAAAGAGAAGCAGAAACCACAAAGCTCCTATGACCTGGCCTTGGAAAACCCAGAACATCATTTCCACCACATTCTGTTGATCAGACAAGTCACTAAAGGCAACACAGATTCAAGGGGAGAGGAATTCATTCCACTTCTTAATGGAGAAGTGTCAAGGTCCCACTGCAGAAGAGTGTATCCCCTCTAAGCATCAAATTCTCCTTTTGCAAAATAGTGTCTCTAAACCAAGATCAGACTCCCATCCCCTTTTATTCTTCCAAGAAATTACTCCTGCCAGTTCTTCAATACTCAAGAGAACCCCATTCTCCCTGGCTCACTTCTCTGCTCCCCTACACATCCAAAATCACATGTACCCTTTCTCTCTGCCCCTTCTTAACTTGGGCCATCCCCCAGCCATCGCCTCTCTCAATGTCCTCTCATCTTAGAATAATAGCACCAGCACCACCTCTTCCTGTCTGGGGAGGTCAGGTCAGCAAGTGACTGGATGCAAGGGTGTGGTAGGCACCTCTGATGGCCCAGCTGTGCCAGCAGTGACTGGCAAAGCCACCCTTCTGAACCAAGAGCAGAATCCAGAGAAGGAAAGCATGTATCTTGTGAACATTTATTATACGACAAGAGTGAGTGAGCAGGAAGCTTACGGCCACCATTAGTGTACAATGAAGCAATTCCAGAGTTGATGCATTTCAGCAATTTCACATCTACAAAACCCTCTGCCCAAAGGAAGCCAAATCTTGCTCTGTGTGTGTGTGTGTGTGTGCATGCGCACACGCGCACGCGTGTGTGCTCAAGTTTCAGAAACTCCAAGTGTCTTTGGAATCTTCATATGGATCTAGGAATTCCATGGGGTCCTACGCCCTAAGCCATGTATCATGGAACTCTTCCTTCCTGGAAGGCCACAAAATATCCAATCTTGCTCACAGGATGAGCTCCCAGAGTTAGCCCTCTGGCCAAGCCCTGGGAGTGATCTGATTGTATCTCAGATGTCTCAAAGTGTCCTAATAAGAACTGAACCACCCTGCTAGTTTCAGTAGAAAGGATCCCTGTTTCCATCACCATTCCCTTGTAAAGAGGCCAGCCCCAGAGAACACTTTCATTATCTAATCATCTTAACTTGCATAATTATTTCCCTAAAAGTACAATTAGCAGATACACTTCTGGGATTTAAATATATAGATAGCACAGGCTAATAAAAATAATTATATCACATAAGGGAAAAGAAGCTAAAAAAAAGAAAAGAGAGATAGTAAAAGATTTAGGAAAAGACATGGCAGAAGTGAAACAAACAGAGCAGTTTTGAGGAAAAGCAAGGGGAATGAATGGGAAGGAGAAGGCAGAGAGAGAGAGAGAGAGAGATGGCTAGAAGAATAAGTGGTAAAACCCCATGAAAAAGCATTTCCAACCCTCCATCCCAGCAGCAGGCGGGGCCAGAGCTCCATGTGCTGATCAGGGAACCCCATAGAAAGAATCCCAGCCAAGATCTCCAACTCAGGACATTGCTCCTGCCCCACCTTCCTCTGCCTCCCCAGTACCTTATCCTCAGTGCCTCCCTCACTGCCTCATCTCTCCTGGATGACAGCTTGTCTGATGATGAGGATGCTGCCTCCTAGGCCCCACCCTCAGTTCCAGAAACCAGAACTTTTAGAGAAGTAACCTTTCCTGCCCCAGTACCCTGGTGGGGCTTCTGGACACTGCACTACAGGCTGAGCCCCATGTCCTGGGATCCCACGTGTGTGGGAATAGGCATCAGGCAGCCAATTGCACTCACTGCTCCTTCTTACAGCCCTAGAGGATATGAGCGTGCAATTCAGAACGTACTCGGGGGACCAGAAGACCCATGGCAGTGATGAAGTTCCTCACTTCCTGCAGTCACAGAGAAGACGTGGTGAGGACTAAGCCCAGGATCTGACAGTAAGGGCTGCAGAGCTGTGGAGCCCGTTAATTCTCATCCCTACCAGACCTCTAATGACAAGGTGACGGCACTGGTGAAGAAGCAGGGGCACTCGGAAATCAGATGGGGAGCTTTAACTGACAGAGCAGACAAATTCCATCTGCCGAATTCCCCTATACCTTCCTAGCTCTCCAGGATGGGGTGTTAACAGCTCCATGCAGCTGGCCCCAGGGCTATGAACCATCCATCACATGCTGCCCACACTGCTGTCATCAGTTCCTTTGTAAATTAAGCATCTTAAAATTATCCCGGGGTGAGTATGCCAGCTGTTTCCTGTGGGTGCCCTAACTGATATAGGTGTTAATAAATGTTAAGAGGGGAACAGAGTGCTATGGCCTAATACATTTGGAAAAGTCATGGCGAAACCTAACCAGGTTTTCCAACTGCAGAGTTTAGTCAAATACTAAAGGTACTGAGATATAAATGTGCTTTTTATTCCTGTTTCAGTAGGAGACTCAAAAGAAGAATTGGAAACCCTAATCCAAAACTAAGAAGTTAGATGTTAGCTAATCTTCATCTCAGTCTGGTTCCCAGTGCCTCACAGTAGAGTTAAGAGCACTTTATGTTTCAGAGGAAAAACAACAACAGAGGCTGATACCAAACACACAGAAGGCAACCCCCAACTGAGATTTAGTTCAAGAGATGGAGACCAACTAAAGAGGAAGGGTAGGATTTCCCAGGCCTTTGGGTGATGTGTGGGGATAGACAGAGATGGGTATCTTGGAGCAGCAGGACCTGAGCCCCAATTCCAACAGTTCCATAGGGTGGCCTGAGTTCCAATGGAAGCTCCAGTAGCCTGGTGCCCAAGGGAAACAGACATGGAGTCAGTGACTTGAGAACCTTGGCCAAGATCCCTGTGCCCAATGTTGGCGTGGAAACAACAGAGCCATCCACTGTACAGGGCTCTCATCAGTGACCATAAGGGACTTGTGGCCAGAGGCTCATCCCCAAACTTCCTATGGCTGTCATCTCCCCAGAGACCCTGTGAAATCCCAGAGAAAGGGGAAACATAAGTCAGATTGATCTGTTGCCAGTTAGAGGGAAGCAGAGGTCATCCCTAGATGCCTGTCTATGACCCCTGCATTCCATCATGGTGCAGGTGCATTCCATCATGGTGCATGTGCATTCCATCATGGTGCGGGGGCATTCCATCACGGTGTGGGTGCATTCCATCACGGTGCATGTGCATTCCATCACGGTGCGGGCGCATTCCATCACGGTGCGGGCGCATTCCACCACGGTGCGGGCGCATTCCATCACGGTGCGGGCGCATTCCATCAAGGTGCCTGTGCATTCCATCACGGTGCGGGCGCATTCCACCACGGTGCCTGTGCATTCCATCACGGTGCGGGCGCATTCCATCACGGTGCGGGCGCATTCCACCACGGTGCGGGCGCATTCCATCACGGTGCGGGCGCATTCCACCACGGTGCGGGCGCATTCCACCACGGTGCGGGCGCATTCCATCACGGTGCGGGCGCATTCCATCACGGTGCCTGTGCATTCCATCACGGTGCGGGCGCATTCCACCACGGTGCGGGCGCATTCCATCACGGTGCATGTGCATTCCACCACGGTGCGGGCGCATTCCACCACGGTGCGGGCGCATTCCACCACGGTGCGGGCGCATTCCATCACGGTGCGGGCGCATTCCAACACGGTGCGGGTGCATTCCATCATGGTGCATGTGCATTCCATCATGGTTCATGGGCTCTTATCAGTAGAGCTTCCAATCTGCTTGTTGATTTAACGGCTTAATTCCAAGTGGTTGGAAATGTAAGCCCTAATGCAAGGATAATGGGCAGAAAATTGTAGGGGCGGTGTTCCTTCCTATATTTGCCAGTCATAGCTCTCACTGTGTAGTCCAAATGGCACAGCCAATTTGTCCAACACTGATAAATTAGATGCAAAACCAACCAACTGTTCCAATCACTCCTCATCAACTAAGATCTAGAAAGAAGAACTGTTCTTACCTACCCACCTTATGGAAGTCTATTTTCTGGCCTCCTTCCCTCTCTCCCAGAGGTATCCTCTGCTCCTTGTGCCCCAGGCTCAGCATTGGACTTGATAGTCCCATGTGCTAGACCTGGAATTACTAATTAAGTCAACAGGTCTTCATGGAACGCCTGCCACGTTAGGCAACAAAGGGCATACAACAGATTGCACAGTATTCTTTTTTTTTTTTTGTACCAAAATGGATACTAGGTTTTCTGATTAAAATGCTAAATTGAGCGTGTGAAACCCTCTAATTTGATGGAATAAATGATAAAAGCCAGCAGGGACACAGAGAATGAGACAGAAGTCAGTAGCAGATAAGATATTTCAGTCCACTTTTTCAAGGTGGGGTGGGAGAAGAGGAGCAACAACTGTCCTTGCAGAGTTGAGAAAGCTGTGCTCTGAGAGCCTGCAGAGGGTGCCAGTGAGGCAGGAGCCAATTCACCCAGCAACGCCCACAGAAGGCTTGGCATTGGGAGGCAGCAGGTAAAGACAGTGGAGGGGCTGAGCTGAGAAGGAGATGTTGGTTGAAGTCAGTGTGCAGAACAATTAGACCCCCAGGTCTCCTCCAACCCTGAAAAGCCACCTCTTTACTTATCCTGCCCAGATGGTGGAGCAGAGGCTGATCCTCTAGTTCTATTGAACTGGAAAAGCTACAGGTACAAATGCAGGAACACCTGGAAAAGCAGAAGACAGGGTTGAGTCTCGGAGTTAAAAACAGATATGACATTCTCTATCTTGAATAGTAAGAAATGCACTCTCTAACTCTGTTTTTCCACCCAGGTCCAAGAATCAAAACAGGTAGGTATACAAACAATAATAGAGATGAGATAAAAGAAAGAAAGAGAGAGAAGGAGACAGACAGAGAGAGACAGAGAGAGAGACAGAGAGAGAGAAGAGAGAGAGAGATCCTGGTAAGCAGTTGACTTTTTTGAAGAAAGAGAATTCTCCTGTCTCCTCACACCAAAAATTAAAAAGATCTATATCCTGCTTGGTGCTTGGTCACCCTACAGGAAAGCCAATAATAAGTCCTCCTCCCCTAATATGCATCATACACACACACACACACACACACACACAGAGAGAGAGAGAGAGAGAGAAAGAGAGAGAGAGATTCCAGTGATTTTTTGGGATATAGATGACAATTATGGAATATGAAAAACAACAACCAAAATTAACAGAACCAAAAACTAAAGAAAACAATGCAGAGAGCAGAATACATTTTCCAAAAAAACTTTACTTAGCATCACTTAATGTAGAGGAGAAAACACCGCAGCCATTGAACAAAAAACAAAGGATGTAATTTTTAAAAAGAACAAAGAACAGAAAACACTCTTGGAAGGTAAAAGTGTGATAGCTAAAATCAAAAATGTAATAGGATCATTGAAAGACAAAGTCAAAGAGATCACCCATAATGAAGAAAATAAGAGACAAAGACGAAAAGTAGAAAATAAATTTAGAAGATAATCCAAGAAGTTCAACAATTATCTAGTGGACGTTGCAGAAACAGAGAACAGATAAAAATAAAAGAAAATCATCTAATATGTGCTACAGAAACATTTTCCAATGAACTGACATGAGTCCCCTGTTTGAAATGATTCTGATTGCCCAACATATTAAGTAAAGACCTCTCATCAAGGTTCCTCATCATGAAATTTTAGAAAAACAGAGCTAAAAATAATCCCTTAAATTCTTACAGAAAGGAAAAATATCATATCAAAAGATGTGAAATAAGAATGACAACTGACTTTTCAATAACCACAGGGGAAGACAGAAGACAAAATTCTGAGGGAAATTTATTTTCCATCTAGAATTGATTTTCCAACTAAACCACAAATTCAGTGTGAGTATAGACTAAAGACATTTTTAGACCTCCAAGGCACATTCAGCATCTCAGGAAGCCCCTAGATATGTAGCAGAAGATATGGAGATGAAATCCAAAGAAGAGAAAAACATGGATCCCAGGAAACAGGGCTCCAGACAGGAGAAAGGAAAAGCTAAGTCTTCAGATGACAGAAAAGGAGAGTGCCAGATGGTGGCTTTGCAGCAGGCCCAGAGAGCAGTTCCAGATGGAACTGGTTCTATGGAACATCATAGAGCCATAGCAATTGGAGGTCTAGTGTGATTTTCCAGTCTCCTGGATGCACAGCAGTGTCATGAGTCTTTAAGTGTGTGTGTTCCTCTCCCATTCACAGCCTTCCCTGATCTCCTTCAACTGTAACCTATTCCCTTCCCCTTCCCCTCACCATTGTCCTTCATAGGGAAAGGAATGTCTGACCTCAAATCTTTCTGGTTCAAAGCCAATCCCTTCACCTCTGCTCTTGATCATCCCTTCACATCTCAATTACTTGCGCCCATTCACTTTGCATTATATAGGCATCTCTCTCCCGACTTGCTCCTTCCTTTCAAGTCTAAAAATCTATGTCACTTGTAATTATCACCTTATCTTTCCCTTTCTCTTCTATTCTGAACTTACCGGAGTGGGGGAAAGGTCTGCACTCATTGTCCCCACTTTCTTACCTCCTAGTCACTCTTTAATGTAAACTTGCTGTGATGTGTTTCCACCCACATCTAGCCAGGGACATTATTCTTGCCATGGACACCTCCAAACTCAAACAAATGCTTCTCAGCTCTTATCTGACTTTATTATTTGGCGCATGTGGTTCCTATGACTGAGAATTCTTTCCTTTCTCTCTCTCTGTGAGCACATCCTGTTTGATTCTTTCTCTGTCCTTTTGGGCAATCCATCCACTCATCCAGAATACATTCATTGAGCACCTACTCTGTGCAAGGCTGGGCACAGAGCTCACAGGCTGATGGAGGAAACAGCCACGGAAACCAGCACATTCTGTAAAGTGCTGCAGATGCAGCGAGGAGGAAACCAGCACATTCTGTAAAGGAGGTCACAGGGGATCCAGGGGAGCACAGAAGAGACAATTGTTCCCACTTAGGGGAGAGTTTCAGAGGGAGCTGAAGGATAACTGAGCACCCTCCGGAAAGACAAGCAGAGCCATACAGACGTGAAGGAATTGCTAAGGAAGCAAATGTTGGTGGTCTGACACGGCCCAGGACCCCAGCCCCTGGGAGATGTGTGGAGTGGCTGGAGGACAAAGGTGGGAGGTCTTCCAATCACCTGATCCTCGTCCTCCACTAGCTCCCTGAAGACGGTGTCCCATCATGGTCCCCCTGTCCCTCTTTTCTTTCCTGCTCACAATCCACTCCCTGGGGGTGTCTCATTCACCGCCTTCTAGATGCATGAAATGGAACCCATTCTCCTCCTGTGCTCTGTTATTAATGGTATCATATCTCTCAGCAACCAAAGACAGATAGGATTCATCTGGACTCCCTTGTCCTTCCCCCCACACCTTGCCTCAGCAATATCCAAGCCCCATCAATCCCCACATCCCTCTCACATCCACCCTGTGGCCAGGCTCTCAGCATCTCCAAGGTGAACTACTATGAAGGCCTCTTAACTGCCTCAAACCTCATCCTCTCTCTCCATGCGAGCCACCAGGGGATCTTTCTAAAGCACAAATAGGGTAAGACTCTCTCCTTCATTTCCTCTCACCGCAGCAGGCCTCCTCACGCTTTCCCAAGGGAGCTCCCCTAACCTAGCAGAGCTGGGGGCCACACTCCGTCTGAGGGAACCAGACGGGAGCCCAGTCTGAAAGTTCTGCCAGGATCCACTCAGGCTGGTTCCAGTGTTAGGATAATTCTTTAAATTACCTATCTACAGAATCACTCAACCTCCTCCCCAAGGATGCTTAAGTACAACTGATGCCCCAGGAAGATTGCTCTGCATTTATTTCTCCTGGACCTTTGCATTCTCTTTGACACACCACCTCATGCTGCCATAACCACCCATTTTCCCCACTGAGGAGCAGGGGAATGCCAGGTTCTCAGACCAGCACATAGGCCCTTCCAGTCTGGACCATGCCTGGCCCTCCATTACCACCTCTCACCTCTCCCCACCTTGGACTCTGTTCCAGCAACACACTTCTGTACCTCAGACTGTGTTCCAGCAATACACTTCTGTACCTCAGACTGTGTTCCAGCAATACACTTCTGTACCTCAGACTGTGTTCCAGCAATACACTTCTGTACCTCACACTCTAGAACTGGGCCTGCGTAGAAAAACATTTCAGTAATTATCCTCTGGTTTGGAAACTGTCTTCAACCACAGGGCGCCTCTCACTTTAAAACTTCAGGGCTCCCAGCCTGAAATGGACTTCTAGAAAACTCACCATGTTGTATTGTTACTCTTATTAAAGTAACAAATTTCTCACTTTTTATAAAGTATACATGTTCTTTTTTTTTTTTTTTACAAAAGTAACACAAGAAAAAACAAAAAATGCAACAACGCTCACACCCTCATTGCTGCCAGAATAAACCAACATTAACACTTAAACATCCTTTCAGACCTACTTCTATTCTCATAACTTTGTGATTTTCCATGTGTCCATCTGTGGCACAAAACAGTGAGCTCCTTAGGGGCCCAGTCTTACATGCCCAGCACCCACAGAATGCCTGATGTGTGCACTGAGGGGTAGGGACTCCCTAGAAGTTATGTCTCCAGTAGCAGGAGACCCCCCCACTTCCTGCATGAGCCTCCTCTCCTTCATTGACCATCAGCTTTGAGCTCAAAGCCCTGGGCTCCTCCAGTCC